GGGAGGGGGGAGGGAGGGGGGAAGGTAACCGCAAGGAAAGCCAGCTCAGGGAAGCAGCTCCTTGCTAACCGGTACAGAAATAGGTCAGTGTTTTACCCACTCGCACAGCTACGGTCATGCCCACCAGCCAGACACTGGCTCTACTTCCAGGTATGGGAGGCAGACTTCTAAAACTGCCTGCAGCCAGGCTCATATCTTCTTGTTGTTGCTGTTGTTCCCAAATTTGCTATAGGGCATGTGTAATCACCAGAGAGAGACAGAGAAAGAAAGTGAGAAAGTACCCCACGGAGGACGCCCACGCCCGTAATACCTCGTCCCCCATTCTCCTCTCGGGATTTTGGACATAGACATGCACATACACACACCTGATGTAATTTTCTTCCTTCCTTCCTTTCCTTCCTTCCTTTATTTCTCCCTTTCATTTTTTTTCTTTCTTTCTCTTTCTTTCTTCTTTCTTCTTTTTTTTTAAGAGGTTTGTGCCATAGGGTCTGTGCACTCGCCAGAGAAAGAGAGACAGAGACAGCGAAAAGGAAAGTGAGAGCTCATCCCTAGGGGAAATGGCCACGCCACAATCCCTTCTCCATTTTCATGGGATCTTAGGCACTCATGCAAACACACCCAGTGTGATTTTCAAGTCACCAGGTACGGGACTTGAACCAGGGTCGACCAAATGGAAGTCCAGCAACATAACCACTACGCCATCTGCTGGCTGAAAGTTTATGCAAAAATGGAATCAAAGTGCTAGTTTATTTTGGTGCAAAAAAAAAAAATGAAATCCATGCATGTTTTTTTTTTTCATAATATACATTTCCATGAACTTTCTGAAGAAACTCCCCCTCATAAAAAATCTTTCTTGCACTTCCCTTCCTTCCTCCCCCAGCTCCAGCTGAGGGCCCTGAAGCAGCTGGCTTGCCCCATCATGGCCCAGGTGTCCCCAAATGGTAGCACAGGACAGGCCACAGGACCAGGCTACCAGGGTTGACCTCGGCTCTGCCACTTGACTAACCATGTAACTACCTCCAGTTCACTGTGCCTCAGTCCCCTCACCTGTACAAGGGGGGCCACCATATAGCCAACACCTGCTGTGGCCTCACTATGTGCCAGGTGCATAAAGTTCGATGTTTTGTGGACACCCCAGGGCTTCTCTGAGGACCACTTGAGTTCATTCATGAAGAGGGCCTGACACCCAGTCAGTGCTCCACAAATGGTAGCCATTATTGTGAGGGAGGAGTCTGGCTCCTGACCAAAAATCCACGTGCCATCTTTTGGGCCTGACCATAGGCAATTACAAAGGCCTTCCCTGACAGGCCTCAGGGGGACAGCACCACCCCACCCACCACCACCACTACACTCACACACACAGTAGGTGCACAGCCAGGGCTTTCATCTCTGAAGGGACTGAAGTCAAGGCCTCACTCCCCATGGGTTAGCCATTCTTGTACACGTCTGCATCTGGGCCCTCTAGGCCCTCAGAGGGACAAGCCACCTGACGACCTTGTTCTCCACTGAGACTCAGTACTCTGTACTTTTCCACTCCTGGCCCTCCCTGTCCCACCTCCCCGTAGAGGAGCCTCGTGTTTGGGGTTCCCACTCATCCTCCACATCGGGGCTAATCTATCTGACTCTTGACCAGGGCCGTCCTTGGGAGGAAAAGATGGAAGGAAGGGCTAGCCTCTTGCTCAACCTTAATCTCAGAAAGTGATTAAAGGCTTGACTATTATTTTCTCTTGCTTTTTGGTTAAACCTGGCAACTCAGCTCTGTCCAGCTCAGCTCAGCCTTGAAAATCATAATCTTCCTTGCCTCATCCATCCTCCCCTGGGAACCAGCATGACCTCCTTAAAGCAACTGTTTGTGGCTCTTTCCAGTGGGACACTGTCTGGCCTTCCAGCCTGCCATGACACTGCCAGGCCTGCTCTGCTCCCAGGCCTCTGGCTGCTGCCCTCTGGGGACTCTCCCTCCAGGTCCTGCACCACAACACCTGCTCCTGGCTCCGCCCGCTGCTTGATTTAATTCCAATTTGTCTTTCAACACACAGTTTAGTAAAGTGTGGCCTCTTCCTGAAAGCCCTCCCTCTCCTCCAGGTCTGACTGGTCTGAACAGGTCCCTCTCTGAGTTCCCACAGTCCTTCCAGCTCTTTCCACACTGTGTAACCACCTGGCATTATGGGTTGCTTGAGTTTAGGTCCTGTGCCTAGCACAGTTCTGACATGCAGGAGGCATTGGGGAAGTGAATGGTAAATGGAGGCAGGGGAGGTGGGGAGAGGAAGGGATAGGTGGGAGGGGAGGAGAGAACAGGAAAGAAGGAAGGGGAGGGGAGGGGAGAGGGAAGAAGGGAGGAGAGAGAAGAGACGAGGAGGTAAAGAAAGAAAAAATACCAAAAACATGTCAAATTCTTGTCTTCCACTGGAGGCTCCAGGAGAACAGATCCCTCTCTAGCCTCTCATCATGCTCCAGCCCAGCCGAATGCCTTGCAACCCCGAACACCCTGCATCTTCCGGAATATAAGCCTCAACTTCCGTCTGGGGCCCGAAACCCCTCACTTCCGCTGTCTCCCTCTACGTGGTGAACTTCCCCTTTTTATTTCAGCTCTTTCAAACTGCTTTCCAACTTTGGTTTCCTCCATCGCACCTCCCTCTATTGTCATGGCGTCCATCTGTCTGCCCTCTGTCTGTCTGTCTATCACTGACCTGTAATTTGGCTCCACTCACAGGAATGCAAGTTCCAGGAAGGGAGGCCAATCTGCCTGTGTTGTTGGAGTGGTATTCCCAGCATCTAGAACAGTCTGGCAGGGAGGTATTCAATTCTTTCATCAAGTGAATTAATTCTTCCTTCCAAACCCAACCCAGCTCTTCCCTTCTTTGTGACACTTTCCTGCTTTATCCAACCCCTCCCTGGTCCCCTGGGATGTCATGGCCTTGCTTGTGTTACTTCTGCTCCTTACATATAATGTCGCCTCCCCACCTGTCACACTGCTGGGTTATATGTCTATTTTAGTCGCCCCCAGTCTGATGGCATTTGGAGATGGGACCTTTCAGAGCTACTTATGTTTAGATGGGGGGGAGGTTATAAGAGGGACATGAACCCCCTGCACTGTCTGGTTGTGTTACCTGGCCCTGCTGAGCACCTGCTGGGACCACCCAAGCCTCAGGGGTTTGGTCCAGCCCTGCCAGGGGACAGGAGCAGCAGTCTCTCCTTGTCAACTGGCACTTACAGGGGTTCCTCAGTCTGTGACAACAGTGTCCAGGCTGCAAGACCTGTGTCTACCAGAAGCTGCCACTAAGGCCACTCTGACCAGGATCCAAGACAAGCAGGTTTAGCAGACGTGGATGGTGCCTCATCTGTCTGACCCCTTGAGCTGGGATCCTGGTTTATTCCTTGCCCATCCGAGGCAAACACAGAGCCTGGTACAATGGTGAGCCAGGAATGTTTAGGGAAGTGAAGAACAGTCGTCACTTCGGTTGCCATGGCATGTAGATAAATTATTTTGGTGTCTCTGCACAGTTAAGACTTTCCGAACCAATTTTGCCAATACCTGGGACCCACCTAAGAGCCAGCCTTAAAGTTATGCACTGCACAGTGAGTGAGAGAATTCCGGACTTGTGTCCAACCCTACAGGAATGTGTGTACATTTCCAGGGGGACTCTCAGTTTACCTAGCCCCTGAAGAAGCTGATTTACATGTCAAAGGGCTGCTTGGAGCTCAGGCCTCAGGTTTCCAAGGAGACCCTTCCTGGGAGGACAGGGGACAGCTGCTTCCTTCCCCTTTGTAGGCAGGCAGAGAAAATTCCTTTTCAGCTCATTCATCACCTATGATGCAGACTTGGTATGCATAGATTTTTCTGGTTTTCATCGTTTTCTCTCAGGGATAAGAATTGAGATGAGGGTGTTGCCTGTCTCTGAATTAACATTAGAAATGCTTACCCACAGAGACTCCATCTTGCTCCTGTAAGTTTCTTCTTTCAACACTCGGCCTTGCCAGAAGAGCCTCCCCTGCATTCTCCAGCGGAGAAGCATCTGTGACTCCCAACAAGATAAGAAAGTGTGCAGTAAATGACCTCTGGTCTCTTGAAATCTGTAGACACACAGTGACCACACACGTCAGCCAGGGCCAGCGGACCATGAAAACCGCCTCAAGGTCTAGAACAGCTTGTCACCTCTTGACCCGACTCCCCCTCCCTGCCTTCCCCCACTCCCTCCCTGTGACAACCAAGCTTTTGTTCCTTTTCTTAGGATGGTTATTTAGGACGCTGGTGGACCATTTGCTCAGCTAGCTGGCTTCCCCAGGGAAGATGTCGCTTCCTGGGACCAGCAGTTAGCGTAATGGCTATGTCGCTGGACTCCCATGTAGTCGACCACGATACACGTCCCGGACCTGGTGGCTTAAAACTCATACCGGGCATGTGTGCGTGCATGCCCAAGATCCCGAGAGGAGAATGGAGGAGAAGGGATTGCGGCATGGCCATCCCCCCAGGGGGTGATTTCTCGCTTTCTGTCTCTCTGTCTCTCTCTGTCTGATGAGCATATGTACCCTATAGCAAAAAAAAAAAAAAAAAGATGTAGCTTCCTTCCCCCAACGCCTTGTCTCTTGTCATACTGGCTGTGGGCTTGGACTCAGCTGCGGGGGGTGCCAGGTGACCACCCTTGGCTTTCTCCGTGAGCAGTGATAAACTGTCGGATCCAGATGGTTTCGTGTGCACCCTCAGTGTACAATGTACAAAGATGAACATTCGGATTCCGACAGCTGCCCAGCATCTGAACAAGCTTCCCATACTGTGGGACCCCCTAAACAGGAGATAGGCAAGACTTACCCAGGAGGTAAGTCCCCTCAGCTCCCCCCCAGCAGCTCAGCAGGATGAGGGCACACAGTGGCCTGCTGACATGTGTCCAGATGACGTCAGAATGGTTTCCTTCCCAGGCAGATGCTTCACTGGCAGCCTTGATGGTGCCTGGCTGCCTTTACTCTCTCGCAAACTCTTGCTCCCAGCCATCTCATCAGTCTAGGAACTTCCTGATACCTTTTCTTCTTCCTCTTCCTCTTTCTCTTCTTCTTCATTTACTATAGGGTGTATGTGCCCACCAGAGAGAGAGGAAGAGAGAAAGCACCCCTTTGAGGGGACGGCCACACCATAGTCCCTTCTCTTTTATTCTCCTCTTGAGATTTTGGGCACACACACACACACGTCCGGTGTGTTTTTCAAGCCATCGGGTCAGAGACTGGAACTGCACAGTCGGCCACGTGAGATTCATCTACCTTAACCACCATGCCACTGGCTGGTTCCCTGATACTATTTTTTTTCTTTTCTTTTCTTTTCTTTTCTTTTCTTTTCTTTTCTTTTTTTAAGAGAGATTTTTGCTATAGGGCACATGTGCTCACCAGAGAGACAGAGAAAACGAGGTGTCATCCCCCAGGGAGGACTGCCATAGCTGTAATCCCTTCTTATCCATTCTCCTCTTGAGATCTTGGGCGGGCATGCACACACAGGCACCTAACATGAGTTCTAAGCCGCCGGGCTCAAAACTGGGACTCAAACTGTGGTCAGCTACGTGCGAGTCCAGCGACGTAACCATTATGTCATTTGTTGGTCCCCCTGATACCTTTTTTTTTTTTTTGGAGAGGATTTCGCTACAGGGTGCGTGTGCTCGCCAGACAGACAGAGACATAGAGATAGAAAGCGAGAAATCATCCCCCAGAGGGGATGGTCACGCCGCAATCCCTTCTCCTCCATTCTCCTCTCAGGATCTTGGGCACACACGCAGACGCGCCCGGCGTGAGTTTTAAGCCACTGGGTCCGGGACGCGAACTGCGGTCGACTACGTGGGAATCCAGCGACATAGCCATTACGCTAACTGCTGGTTTCTCCCCCATACCTTTCTAATAAATTCCTTTCCCCTTGGATTAGTCAGAACCCATTCTGAGTTTGGAAAAAAGTACAGCTGAATTTAACTTGCCAATGAATGCCCGTGATTTAAACAGGGAGCCAACTTAAACAGGTTGAAAGGTGAAGTCCCTCCTCTCTTTCTCACTTTCCCTTTAGTGAAGATAAACAACATCACCGATCTTGGTGTGCCCTGGCCTCTGGCCCATGGCTTTCTGCAATGCCCTGATAGTGGGTGACATTCTCTGTTTTCAGCTACGTGTGCCATTTACGTCTTCAATACATCAGGGATTCCAGCAGCCAAGAGTGACACTGCCTACGGTGACTAAACGAGGAGAGGAAAACTGGCAGCGGCCATATTGAGCATTTCCTGATTCTGTCTTCCAAGTGAGCACGGTTCTTGGCACCTTGGTCCTCAGTTAAAGTGCCCTGAACTGGTTCCCCAGATGTGCAACAAATTTCTTACAAATGTATCAAGATCAACCAGTCTTCAAAGCAGGGAGTGGTAAACTCAGCTGGAAGCTGGACTGGGGGGTGGGCAGGGGGTGCTGATCAAGAGGGGCTTCATTGGGACCAGAAGATGGCGTAATGGCTACGTCACTGGACTCCCATGTAGTCGACCACGGTTTGAGTTCCAGACCCACTGGCTTAAATTCTCGCTGGGTGTGTGTGCGTGCATGCCCAGGATCCCAAGAGGAGAATGGAGGAGAAGGGATTGTGGTGTGGTCATACCCCCTGGGGGTGATGTCTTGCTTTCTGTCTCTCTGTCTCTCTCTGTCTGGCCAGCGCACATGCCCAATAGCAAAAACCTCTCAGAAAAAAAAAAAAAGGGGGGGTGGGGGTTTGTTAACAAAGTGGTAATGGAGCTCACTTTAAAGAACAGGCAGGACTTCCCTGGCCAAGATGACTAGGAAGGAAACAGGTCATTGTCCTTTCTCTGCATGACTGTAATCTTGACTGGGGGCTAGGCTGCAGGGAGGCTGCCAAGTAGTTAGCTGAATGGGCCCAGCTGCAGTGGTGCAAGTGGCAGGGTTCCCCGAGTGCTATCGAAGCCACGAAGCCACGTGAGATGGTCCAGGCTGGGTTCTGTCAGTCTGAACAAGCTGGGGACCCCTGCCTAGGAGGCCGAGGGAAGGATGGTGACATGGAAAGGCCCCATCAAGGGTACCCATGTCTCTTTCTCTCTCTCACACATATGAAACAAATAAAATACACTTTGGGGCCAGCCCATAGCCTGACAGTTAAGGCAAGTGGCTCCCACATGGCAGGCTGCACAGTTCAAGTCTGACCTGCAGCTTGAGAAGCCTATTGGGTGCATGCGTGTGCCCAAAATCCCAACAGGAGGGGAAAATGGAAAAGGAATCTTGGCGTGACCATTCCCTGTGGAGGGTGCTTTCTCGCGTTCCTTTTCTGTCTCTGTCTCTCTCCAACAAGTGCACATGCCCTCTGGCAAACTTTTTTTAAAAAGAAAGAAAATATGGGACCAATGAATGGTGTGGTGGTGAAGGCAGATAGATCCCACATGGCCAGCTCTGCGGTTTCGGTCTTATACCCGGAGGCCTGAAAAACAACTGGGTACATGCGTGTGTGTGCCCCAAATCCCCAGAGAATGGAGGAGATGGGATTATGGCATGGTCATCCCCCCAAGGGTGACTTCTCAGTTTGTCTCTCTCTCTCGCTCTCGCTCTCGCTCTCTCGCTCTCTCTGGTGAGCACACACACTATGGCCAAAATTAAAGAAAAGAAAGAAAAAAGAAAGGGAGAAAGAAGACAAACTTTTAAAAAACGTCAGCGGAGAGGATAAATGCGAGACGACTGTATTTTCACGTTGCCACACTGCCACCACTAAACTGGGAATCCTTGAGAGCAGGACCCCAGCTCTGTCATGCCTGCCCCTGCCCCTAGCACAGGGTCTGACGCACTGGCTGTGAGCTTTATTCACAAGCAGTATAACCCACTGCCAGGAACTGAAACAGAGAAGAGATGGCTAACGATCCTGGGTGCCTCGCTGTGTCCCGGGAGGACTGGAGAACAGGGCTTGGAGGCTGCACAGTCTGGAGAAAGGCCGGCGAGGCCCCTAACGACCCCACTGCTGCCACTGGGCATTCAGCTTGTGGCTTGCACATCCGACACTGTGACCCGGGCCCTGACGTTGCCTTGGATGCCTGACAGAGCTGCGCCGCTGGCATCCTCACCAAGACAGAGGTCACATAACCCTGCGTCCGCATGCCCCTTGCTACTGAGTCAAAGTCTGGTCATTACTTCTGACCGCAAATTCTACCTGCAAGGAGGTGAGATGAGAATCGGGCCCTCTTTGGTTTCTGTTTGTAGCACGGCCTTGCTGAAAACTTAGGGGCTTCCCGGTGTGGGAAGGAGTTCGGCAATGGAGGATCTGCCGGGGCGGAGAGGCTCCTGCTTTGCAGGAACAGAGAGTGCGCATGCGCTCCAGCAGGGAGCAGCTCAGAGAACTCGGGTCTCCGGGTCTCCACAACCATGCGTGGAGTGACCAGGATAAAGGCTGGAGAGGCAGCGCGGCTACACCCGGAGGGCCCTGGCGTTCAGCATAAGGAGCTGGCACTTTGATCTGTAGGCAACGGGGCCCTGGAGGCTTTTGAGCAGCTGTGTGACCCGTGACCCAAGAGGAGATAGAACAGAAAGAAGCCCTGTTGCTTCAGCTGGGTGTTGGAGTTAGATGTACTGACATGTCAAGGCTGGGCCTTTCCAAAAACACAGATGAGGTCGGACATAGTGCAGCGATAATACCATGCCCTACAATGCTAGTCTTACATGGGAAGGTCCTGAGTTCCCGTCCCGGGGTCCCCCATACACACACAGCATGACCATGCTGTCATCCTGGCTGGCTGAAGCTGGCCCATCAAGGCATGAAGACCCTATTGAAGGTGCCTGTCTATCTGTCTCTCTCCCTGAAGAAATACATAATAAGCTTGTGAAAAGAGAGAGAGGACCCCACGCTCACTGCCTTCTCTGACACAGCCCATCTAAGAAGTCACTCCCCTGGGGAAGGAGTTGAGTTTCCACTTCACAAAAACAATAGATACAGGAGTCGATACTTCTCAAAAGGACATAGGATTCTTTTCTCCATTCTCCTTTCAGGATTTTGGGGACACCTGCACATACGTCCATTATAAGTTTTAAGCCACCACGTCCAGGACTCAAACCACAGTCGACTCTGTGGAAGTCTAGCAACATAATCATTATGCCAACTACTGGTCCCAAGGACACAAGATTCTTTTTTTTTTTTTTTTATAAACCACCTGCTACTGGATAGGTTTATTTATTTACATTCTTTCACTGAACATCATCACAACATACAAAATGCGATTTCCCATCCAGAATGCACTATATAATGGCTTAGTCATACATGTTATCGTCAACAAATAATTTTCCATTTCTTGTTAGGACACGCGATTCTTATCTCACGGGATTATCTGGATATTAAATGAGATCAAGTGTCCAAAGTGCTCCTCACGTACTCGGCTGTTAGTTGAGTATTTGCTGATCAGGCACTTTCCACACATTATCTCATTTAACCCTACCACGATCCTGTGAGATTAGGTGTTACCCAACTTCAGAGATGGAATCCATCTTAGCCTTGCTCAAGGGCTCACAGGTAACAAGTGGAGGAACCAGGATCAAACCCAGAGGTATCTGACCCCTGATAACCGCAAAGCTCGTTCGAAGGGCAAAGGGGAGGTGTCAGGACGGAAGTACAATGGCCGTGAGTTAGCAGAGTGGGTTGGAAAGGGAGACACGGGCTGCGGAGAGACTGAATAGTAAGGCGCCCGCCAAGCTTTAAGTGATTGCTTGTTTATTTCTCTCACTTGCCCCTTCTTACATTCCGTTCCTCCCCGTCTCTCCCTCCACACACACACAGGCCATATGTGCTTGTCAGAGAGAGAGAAAGCAAAAAATCACCCCTCCTGGTGTGTGGTCATGACACAATCCCTTAGCCTCCATGTCTCCCTTCTGTTGGGATTTTGGACACACACACACGTGCCTGGTTTGTGTTTGGTTTTGTTTTTGTTTTTGAGAGTTTTTTTGCTATAGGGTAGGTAGTGCTTACCAGAGAGACAGAGAGACAAAAAGCAAGAAATCACCCCCCGGGGGGAATGGCCACGCTGCAATCCCTTCTCCTCCATTCTCCTCTTGGGATCTTGGGCACGCACGCACATGCACCTGGCGTGAGTTTATGCCACCAGGTCCGAGACTCGAACTGCAGTCGACTACATGGGAGTCCAGCGACATAGCCATTACATTAACTGCTGGTCCCCCTGGTTTGTTTTTCAAACTGCTGAGCCTAGGACTTGAACTGTTCAGTCTGCTGTGTGAGACCAGCTGTCTTTACCGTCCCGCCACCAGGATGGTAGCCTAATTGGCCCCCTAATTGCATTCTGATTCATGAGGTCAGAGCCTCCTTGTATTCATCTTGGTAGCCCCAGCCCTTGGCTGGCACCCAGTAGTCTCTTGGTGAACGAGAGTCAAATGAATTGATTGAATATACTGTGTGCTTCCAAGGGCCAAACCCTGCTCCATTCATCTCTGTCCCCTAGTGCCCAGCATAGGGTCTGGCATACGGTCCTCCTGTTTATAAGCTGAATGGCCCCTCTGTGGCCACTGGGCTCCTCATAAATCCCAAACTCTTCATAACCCCCTAGCTTTCTCTGAGAAGCCTTCAGGCCTTAACTCCCTGCCTATCATTGCTTCATCCAAAAATTACCTCCCATTTATCTCATCTTCATGGACAATTTAAGCTTTCCAGCTTGCCATGCGCTTCTTGTTCTTCTCCCCTGGAACCTGCTTAGAGCATCAAATTAATCTCCTCTAACCGTGCTGTGAACTGGCAGCTCTCCAGATCGCGCTCCAACCCCGGCAGCCAGTACTTTACCATTGGTTAATACAGGGGCTCTGGGCCTGCTCCGTCTGAGGTTCACGGAGGGTACGTAGGACCCCACATGATGTCTCCCCGGCATCACAGTCGGTGAGAACAAAAATACCAGGTATGTGCCAACTCACCTGTTCAGGGCACAAATATGGCCACATATTTATTTATCGGATTAATTATTCAAGTCCCCACCCGCCCTTGTTTATAGAGTCCAGTATCTCTTGCTCTCTTTCTTTCTTTCTTTTTTTATTTACTAGAGGGCTTGTGCGCTCACCAGAGAGAGAGAGAGACTGAGAGAGACGGAAAGGGAGAAGGCATTCCTCAATAGAGCATGTCATGCTACAATCCTTTTTCTTCTGTTTCTTCCTCCTGCTGGGGTTTTGGGCATGCCTATGTGTCCAGCATGTTTTTCAAGCCACCAGGTCTGAGATTTGAACTGCTTGGTTGGCCATGTGGGATCTAGCTCCCTTAACCACCAGGCCATGGGCTGGCACTGGACCTGCAATTCCAAAGTCTTTGGCGGTCTAGATGCCAGCAGTTAGGAGAACCTCTCAGGAGGGGAAGCAAGCAGAGGTGGTTATAGGAGTGAGGAAGTGGGGACAGAAAGTATGGCCAACTAACCCAAAGAGTTGTCTGTAAAAACAAGGTGAGAGTTGAGGGCAATTGTTGGGGTGGAAAGGGAGGCAGGGTCAAGAGAGGGTTTTTTGGGTTTTGTTTTAGAATTGTTTCTTTAATTTTATTATTATTATTATTATTTTTAATTTTAATTTGACCAGAGAGAGAGAGAGAGAAAGGGAAAGTAAGAAAGCAAGCCACCAGTTCCGGGACTTGAACTGCGGTTAGTCATGTGGGAGCCCAGCACCCCAACCACCATGCCACCTACTGGCTCCAAGAGAGGGTTTTGTTGTTACAGGGGCACTTTTGAAGACAGGACAGAGAAGAGATTACTGTCTTGAACAGGAAAGGAGAGAAAGGACTGAGGACAGAGCGGGGAGTGATGGGAAGAGAGGAAGATAAACAGAAAGGCTGGGTTGGGCCCTATTAGGGCATCGCGTGAGTGTGGCTGGAGGAATCTATGCTCAGTAGATGGCACTGAGGCTAAGCATCAGGGGTTGGTAGGGTCATGGCTGCGCTGGAGAAGATTCATAGAAGGTATTTGCCTTTAACTGGATCTCCCCAAGGCATGTCTGGGGTTGGCATTAGTTTCGAGCTGACTTACCAAATGAATATCAACGATCTAATTAAGTTGCATTTCCACACCATGATTTCTCAACCCTATCATCTTCACGATTAGCTGAGCAAGATGAAAATGAAATTTTTTTCCCTTAGCCTGGTGCATCAAAGGAAGCTGCCCATTAATTGGGTACAATGTGATTTTAATTTTTTGAACAGCTTGATGGAGATGGAATTTACATATCATTAAATTGACCTGTTCAAAGTACACAATTTTGTTTTCTGTTTGTTTGGTTTGGGGTTTTTTGGTTTTGTTACAGAGTGCATGTACTGGCCAGAGAGAAACGAAGAATGGGAGAAAGTGAGAAATCAGCCCCGTCCCAGAAGGGATGGTCACGCCACAATCTCTTTTCCTCCGTTCTTCTCCCAGATTTTGGGCATACACGCACATATGCCCGACATGTCTTTTCAGCTGCTGGGTCTGGAACTTGAACCACAAAGTCAGCTATGTGGGATCTAGCTGCCTTAACTACCATGCCACTGGCTGGTCTGGTTTTTTATTAACAATATATTTACAGAATTGCGCAACCACCTCCATCTCTAAGTGTAGGACAGTTTTAATCCCATGACAAAACAACACATTTGTCTTTATAAAACAGTCTGAAGGTCAGCTCCATGATGCAGCAGTAATGCACTGTTCAGAGAGAAACTGGGTCCTGCATGGTAACAGCAGTTCAAATCCCCAGGCTGGTTGGCTCAAAAGATGCCAGGTAACAGGGCCAATAGGTGACATAGTGGTTAAGGGCGCTGGACTCCCACATGGCTGACCACAGTTCACGTCCCATACCTGGCAACTGGCTTTCTCTCTCAGACTCTCTCTCTCTCTCTCTCTCTCTCTCTCTCTCTCTTTGTCCCTCTCTGGTCAAATTAAAAAAATAAATGAATAAAGTTAAATAAAATAATTCCAAAAAAAGAAAAGATGCCAGGTATCTGTATGAGTGTCCAGGCGAGAGGACTAGAGGAAGGAGATTCCATTGTAACCAGACCCTCCGGAGGGTGCTCAACTCTCTTTCTCTCTCACACACATTTCCATGTGCACACTCAAATACTCTATCCTAAATTAGTAAAAGTATTTTTAAAAAAACAAACAAACAAAAAAACCAGGTTGAGTTACTCATACCTTTGCCCAGGTCAATCGTTCCCTCTCCACCAGCACGGTAATGCTGCCAGCTAGTTGCAAAGATGCTAGGGCTGAGAAATCACGATGTGGAAACAAGCCATCAGGTTGTTGACATCCTGGAGGCTCCTGTGGAATAGCCTGCTCGTCCACACTGGGGGCCAGCGCGAGGCTGCGTCTTCATTACTACGGAGCAGAGTGCTAGTTGCAGGGCGCATGGCTTCTTCCCCACTGCATTCCCAGCAGCTAGCAGATGGCCTCACACATGTGAGGAGCACAGTGGATGTTTGCTGAATGAGTGAAAGGATGGCACAGCAGGAGGAGACAAAAATCCATTTTAAATATCACTAACGTTGGGGCCAGCGGGTGGTGTAGTGGTTAAGGCACTGGATTACCACATGGTCAACTGTGGTTTGAGTCCCAGATCTGGCAGCTTGAAACGTATGCCAGTTGTGTGTGCATGCCTGTCCAAAATCCTGAGAGGAGAATGGTGAAGGGATTGTGGCATGGCTAATTCCCTCTGGGGGGGG